CGAATCACGTTCTGCAAAGCCTGGGCCATCGCTTCCCCTAACTGAGTGATATCCGGGAAATTAGGTTCAGAAGTACGGCGGGACTCCCTACGCTCTCTACGAGGCGGCATGATTCTGACAGAAAACATCAAAAGATCGTTAAGACATTAACAAATTTACAGGACTGCAACCTAAGCTCTGATACCAAACTGACACACCCCGATCCGGAGGATCCAGGTGTGCTGGCCGTCACGTGAGCGTGACGTAACCATAAGTGCGACACGGAAGCGAAATAACAACATAAATCAGTAGAAATTCAAACCAAACTCAAACATAACCACCTACGAACATAACCGGCTGAGTTATAAAGTAAACACATAAGTTCAGAGCATAGGTTAACTGCAGTCAAGTAGGACTAAAATAAAATACATCACCTTCAGGTGAGTCCTACATGTCGAGAGTCTGTCAGAAAGCCGGAAAAGACCTCGAGAGCCACCAACCGCTAAATTAGAACCTGGAAGGGCGCAAAACAAAATGAGTGGGTCAGTAAAACCAAAGATTTTCCAAAACACTTCATTTAAAACATTTCTAACCCCTCACCGTAAAACCTGTATACTTTCCCAGAAAAAATATATATATATAAAACCATATGAAATCTCAAACTTAAATCCCAAATCTTTAACATTTTTCAAGAAAAAACATGCCATGCCATAAATCAAAATATAAATCAGGTGAAATAAGGAATCAATCGGAGACCCTGCAGTTGGTCCTATACGATTAATTCAATAGCTCAATATCCCACTAAGCCGGAGTCACCACAGTGACCTATACGGCCCTACTCTGTACATCACTCGGAACTACGTAAGGTAGTCTATACGATGAAAGGTGTAAACATACGCTCTAGTGCTTTTCTCATCATATCATCAGCGCGCATAACAAGGTCACCCACTAGTCGGAATCACGCCTAGTGATCTATACGACTAGCATGTCGGAACCCTCACACGGTCTGTACGACATCCACCTACTTGGATCCAAGACGAGCGTGCGGTGTGGTGTGGTGAATAATATAAGCACTAACACTTAGGGTGCAGGTTATGAGCTCAAAACATCTCAACAACAACCAATTCAATGAATAAATGAACTCATCTGACTTACCTGTGCCTCCACTGCACCATGCAACATGTATGCATCATAAATCAATCATATAACTCATATGCAATTCACATTTTTCAAATAATTCTATGCATGGCATTTTCTAAAACATATTTTCACATAAATTCATTTTCTGGGAAAAATCAATAGTATAAAGGTAATACGAAAACAAAACTGCCCACTCACTGATAAGTCGACGGGTCGTAACCCCCGTGGCGTCCCTGGATGCGGTCGTCCTCGGGATACGTCTCTCATCTATATGCGAAACAACTATAAAAACGTTAATTTTAAACATATCACCAATATTTCGAAATAACTTCTTATACGATGCTCAATTTGGGTATATGAATATACCACATCGACCTACTCGACGTCACGAGCGTCGGGAAATTTTTAGAAAAAAATTTGGAGGGCTCACGCACCCCCACGCGCCGCACGTGGCACGGGCCTACGCGCCCTTCTTCTTCCTTGGGTCGCCGGACTGGTTTTTCCGACGACCGGATTCCGGCCAATTTTAAAACCTCTTGTTCTCCTTCGTTTTTCACCCATTTTCTTCGTATTTTATATCAAATTGAAGCCCCAAACATGTAGAATCACGTTGGACTAGTTTTAGGGCCTAAAAATCAAGAAATCTCACCGGAAAAATTCCAAGAATTCGGCCAACTTTGAAACCCACGATCCCAACGTCCAAAACTCTCCAACGAACGTCCCCGAGCTTCCTTAGGACCTCCTAAAGCTCACTACAAGCTTAGAATTCCCTGAAACACGACATTTAACGTGTGCATGAACAGTAACTCAAAAATGGGGATTCGGGTTCTACGCGATTTCGAAGGTTTCACTTCCTAAAACTAGCACCAATGAACTTAAAACGTCGAAAGGATGAAGATGCATACCTTGGTTGCCTCGATTCGTCGAGTTTTTGAGGATTTGGGGTGAGAGCCGTACGTTTTGGGTGTGTGTGTGCGAGAGAGACGGTGAGGGAGAGAGACAGAGAACCACGGGTTGGGAAAGAGAGAGAGAGCATGAGGGTTGTGATGTCCCCAAAAACAATCTCAACCATCCATTTTTCTAATTTCCTAAACAACTTAATCAAAATCAAATCAATAAACCAATTCACATAAATATTTTCTTTTACCCTTACATAATCTTTGAACCAATAACATCACACACACACGTACCTTAGTAACGTCAAGGGCATTTCTGTCATTTCACATCCCCGTCAAAAGTACCTCCAGGACGGGCTTTGACACCAACCGAGGGCCAAATGGCCAGATGACTCGTTTTAGCACTGTCACAAAAAATCATCTCCAACCGAGGGTCAAAGGGTCATAGGGCTAAACATAATTTATTATTTAAAAAATACAACTTAACAGTTGTTTAACTTTCATATTGTTAAATGTTTTTTTTATGTTGTATAATTTTTATGTTGGTTAATGTTATTTAATGTTGTTTCATATTGTTTAATGTTGTTTCATGCTACTTAATTTAATTTAATGTTGTATAATGGCTTAGGAAGTTATAGGAAAAAAATAGAATTAAAAAAAAATACGAAACAAATTTTGTGAAATAGAAGTTATAGGAAAAAAATAAAATTTAAAATAAAATGAAACAAATTTTGTGAAATAGAAGTTACAGGAAAAAATGGAATTTAAAAAAAATATTAAACAAATTTTGTAAAATAAAAGTTATAGGAAAAAAATAGAATTTAAAAAAAAATATGAAAAATAGAAGTTATAGGAAAAATTTTGTAAATAAAAAATAATAATAAAACTGTAATATATATATATATATATATTCAAAGCTTTTCTGTCGGTTATAACCGACAGAAATCCGTCAAATTTAGAAAAAATCTGGCCAGCCCGGGGCTAGCTGGCTGGAAGTGGCCAGCCCTCTCTGATTCCGTAGGGCCCTCTTGGATTCCATAGCCCTCTGGCTTGACCCTCGGTTGGAAACAATTTTCGGACTATTTTCGACCCTCTAGCCCTCTGAATCCTTCGGTTGGAGATGGCTTAAAATGATGTCATAGATTTCAACAGAAAACTGACAACAATAAACTGATGAACTCCTAGCGTATCAGGCTAGTTAGATTAGAAGGTGATTGATCACTCCAAACATTAATCCCTATATTTTAAGGAGTTGGATATGTGAAGAAATGTTGAATATCGAAAGTTTAATTAAAATAGTTAATCCCTATATTTTAAGGGTCTGAAAATCACGAGCTTGCCTCACTAACCTAAACATAATAGATAAATAAAGTTCGTTGACTAGTTCGAAAACAAAAATTTACTCTTCATATACAAGAGAGTCAATGCGTTGGTAGCTTAAAATGGCACTAACCATTCGTATAACTCGCCAATATTTTTCATAATCTAGACCGATTATTTTTTAAGTTATGGTTGAATGATCATTTCTAAAAACAATTTACTAAATCAAAAATTGTTTAGTTATCAACATGATAAATAGACGAACAAGGTGTTGTCGGTAAACAATAAAATCTTCACAATAATTCTAAACCATTTCCGATTTGAGTACATTTTGACAAAGATAATTGTGGATGCAAATTTCTTTCTCTTTGATCTTGGACAATTTTGCACCTACAAAACAATTAACATCTTAGGTTAAGGCCAAGAGCCTTACGCGCCCACGATGAATGAGGGGGGCTTTAGCGGAAGAACGTCCGATGCCAAAGTTAGAATTTAGAGAGAAAAAGTGTTTAGAGAATTTTGAGATTTTTGCCAAAGTGTTGGAATGACTTTTTGGTGAGAATGAGATCACTTTTATAGGAATAGAAAGTGGCCGGCCATCACTAGGGTTTTTGGGTAGTTTAGGTTTAATTAGCCAATTTATTATGATTAATTGGCTAATATAAACATAAAGGAATGTTTTGATGGTTATGGGTTTAATTGGCTAGCTAATTAGTGTAATTAAAAAGGGGAAATGGTGGAAAAGCTAGAGAATATGATAGGCTCTTTTTGGATGGGAATAGCCGGCCCTTGGTGTGATTTTGGGGTGATTTGTTTGCCAATTATGGAATTAATTAGACAATTAATCTCTTAATTGGTCAATTATTATGGTTTTAAAAAAGGGTTTTAGGAAATATGGAATAAGTATATTTATTTAGCTAATTGATTAGCTAAATAATGAAATAGGAAATATATGAATAAATTAGATTTTAAGTTGATACCTATTTTGGGCACTTTTGACCTGGTTGAGAGATAATTGTCTGCTTGCCCCAAGAGTAGTTTTGTCTTCTTTGGTCAAAAATCAACTTGTCGCCTTGTAATTATTTTAGCTCCACAATAATCTATGAATAATGACATGAAAAATGAATAGTTAAGGTTATGACATTAATTTGTGCAGCACACTCAAATTAATGGTTAACACTATATTAAGTTACTAACTGGTTAACACTCAAGCAATAGTAGATAAATCACTTGCATGTCGACTAACAAAACCAGGATCAGCCTTGTCTCCATCAAAGTTTAGTTTGAGCATCTGTATCGCCGGAGTTATCCATTTGATGATAGGGATATGATTTTGTATAGGTCTCACATTGGTCATCCTGTTAGTCCTTACCCACCAAAGCACACAGTAATCATCATTAGTATCTTAACAGGGTGGTAGGGTTTGTAATTCCGGAACAGCAGGCCATAACTTTTTGCTCCATTTAAAAATGAAAGTTTTAACGAAATATTTTCGGTATTATTTATTTTTAATTAAAAATTACATTTTTATTTTTTTATGGTACTATTTACTACATGTTTATTTGCTGTTTTCATTAAAACTAAATTTTTTAAAATTTTTTCGTTATTTTTCCTTTTAAAAATTAGGTTTAACCAATAGCGCCAGGCCTTCATGTATACCTCCGTCACTAGGAAGACATAATGTGGTCTCATTAGTGTTACTCTACAACAAAAAATAGAACGTAAAGTCCATCTCAATATGACGTTTACATTTTATTTAATTTGTTTACTAAAAGCTGAGGAGAGCACCATTTGAATATAATACTGTAAATATCTTGACAGCCGTGCCACAACTAGTTCATATTATATATATATAAAGAACAAGTGTCAGCTCTGTGATAATTTGGTGTTTTCTTGTTTAGTTTGTTGCTTTTGAGTAGCATAATAAAATGGAGAAAAAGCAAGTTGGGGATCTTGTATCTGTAACCTTCACATGGAGGATTGAAAAATTCTCAAGGTTGAGACCCCAGAAGCATTACTCTGATAGTTTCGCCGTCGGTGATTTTAAATGGTACGTATGTTTTAGTTTCTCCTCCGAATGAATCAATGACATTCTTCTGTTTCTTATTTCCTATTTTTCGGTTTGACCCCAAAAAAAATTACAACGAAGATCAACCACATGTCAAAGTTTAATCTAGAAATTACTGAACGAGAAGAATTACTAAACCAGATATGATAACCAAAACTAGCAAATCAATCATGTTCGCTTTCAGATAGATGCATGTAATAATAATATGAAAAATTTACTTTGAGAAGATGCTAAATCGTTTAGCCTAAATGTCTATTTTTTTGGTTGTTTATCTCAGGCAGATCGTTGTATATCCAAAGGGAAGCAGTGGAAATCCCGGAAAGCACGACCTGTCGATATATTTGAATGTCGCAGATGCTACAACATTGTCATCTGGGTGGAGCAGATATGCCCAATTCACCTTGACCGTCGTCAATCAACTTGACAGTGATAAGTCCATAACATTTGGTAATTTATATACACTCCACACTCTTCATCTTGTTTATTTCACGTTTGTGCACTTGTCGGTGTTTCTGTCGCTCAATCTTTGATTGCATTCTATGCAGTTTTTATTTTTCATTTTTCACAAGACTCCGTACCAAGCAATTATCTATCGGCTTTAGGTTATGGCGTCGGTTGCAGTAGCAGTTTTTCTCTGACAGAAATGTTTTGTAATCCGCCGTTGTTTGATTGTACAGAAACTAAGCATGTGTTCAGCGCAAGTAAAAGTGATTGGGGCTTCACATCATTCATGCCTCTAAGTGAGCTTTCTGATTGCACCAAAGGGTTTCTTGTGAATGATGCATGTGTTCTGGAAGCCGAGGTTGCTGTAAGTCAGGTTGACTACACGAGTGCTTCTGAAGCCAATGAAACTTTGTTTTTTACACCTATAAAACCCTCAGAGAACGAAAATGAAAGGCAAGGACGTTCAAATGTGGACGCTGTGCAATTTCCACAGGTGCTTGATTTTCTGGATTCACCAAGTTTTGAACAAAAGCAAACAAATGCTGATTCGTTGCAAGCTCCAATCTCTTCAAAAGCACTTACAACATCCAGTTCTTATCAAGTGCTTGCTTTCCAGGAAGAACCAAGCTCTGAACAATATTGCCCTGAGCCTAACGATAGCCCTGTTGAATCTCCCATAGTCAAGGAACATGAGCTAGCACGCTCCACCCCACTTGGTGAGCTCATGGATTTCCGGGGTTTGGGGAAAATAGACAAAGATTATGTTCCATTTCTAGAGGAAGTCTGTTTGTTGCATCCTTCTTTGATCGAGTGCCAAAGGAAGAGAAGTCGTGTGTTTACTGAATGGGCATTCACAGCTTTGGGTAGACTCCTGCACTTTTTGAAGACTACAAAGGGTAAGGATATGATCGAGGCTCCCTGTGAGGAGCACCTTCAACTTTTATGGGAGGAGCTCGGAACCTTCAAATTTGACTTGGCTTGGTTGGAGCCTCATGTTCAGTCTGCTTTGGGTATGAAGAAGTTTGTGGAAAGGGAACGACATGTAACGAAGCTGAGAAATAATGTGGATGCTTTGGATATTGAGATCAAGAGGTTGAAGGCTTGGCTAACTGTTGCGGAGGTAGAATTTGTGGACGCGAAAACAGACATGGGAGAGGCAGAAGAAAGCTTCGTTGCAATAAATATGGATAGTGAGCTCGGTTATGGCGGATGGCATTAGCTGTCCTTGCAGAATTCTCTCTCTTTTATATGAAAAAAAACACATGCAATCTATGTATTACAGGTCAAGCTCCCTTGCATGTGAAGGATGAAGGCGATCATGTTTCTTAACAATGGAGCGGGAATGCCCCGCCATTTCAGTTTTTGTTCTGAATCAAACTCCTCCAGCTGAAGTTAACTCACTCTCACTCCCCTTCCCCCATCTGAACAATAGCAAAACCTCTGTATGTGGTGAGTGTTGGTGTGAGTCAACTTCCTAGGAGGATTAGGAATATAGGCAATGTCCTAGGATAAATTAGGGATGTAGGTGTGTTTCCTACTTTGATTGTAAATCGTTTAATATTCCTTGTATCACAAGGGTTGGAGTTGTATATATACGTCCCAATGGGAGAAAAATAATAATACAGAAAATTATTAGAACTTTAAACTACAATTTTATCTTGGTACCAGAGCAGGTTTAGGCCCGTCTCTTCTTCCTCAAACCTTAATCCCAGTGTACTGCCTGTTAGTATATAAGTATGAACATAACATTAGGTCCGGTTATAGTGAGAATTGGATATGGAAAAGTCTTGTTAATAAGCTTTAGTTGTCCTAATCCTTATGGGATTGGGAGTTCTGGTATAGCACTTAAAGTAGTACTGGGATTGTTCATATGTTTTGGTATGAATTGGATAGTTGAATCCTACACTGATTCTAATGGGGGATCAGTGAGGAATGGCTCGGTATATAAACGCTAACCACTGCTCTTGCAATGTACGGCTCAATTTGATTCAAAGCCCTATTCTTTGAGAGCACTAGCATATTGCTAAAGAGGAGAAGGTTAACTATTTCAAGGAGTTTCAATGGCTTCATCATCTTCAGCTGGCGCTGCAGGTATGTGTTTTATCTCATCTCTGCATATACAATCTGTTCTTGATGGTTGTGGTTCAATGGCATCTTCATGATCTATTACATGGTATGTATGCATATATCTTACATGTGGTATCAGAGCAAAGGAATTCAAGATAGTTTTCTGTTGTGGTTTCGAAGACTAGTCCTGGGTTAAGAGCATTAAGTGGGTTTATTTCTCCGAGCCCCACCTCGTGTGGATTTGCAAAGTGGTTAGAGCTGTTTGTCAAAGGCTTTTTCATGTTGTTGTAAACGGTTGCTGAAACATGAAAAGAAGTCGATATAAGTATCTCCTATGTGCCGGTACTTTCAAGTGAAAATAAACTCAAACAAGTATAATCCAGGTAAGGAAATCGTGTAATTCTCATGCTGTAAGTATCTTCCTAAATATTTTGCATTGAAGTCAAATGAAAGGATTGATGAACACAATATCGTTAACATAGAATGGCTGCACAAGATTTCGAAATGTCTAAAGAATAAGTGTTGTCATAAGGGCTGATTTGATCATGGAAGTAGTCCATCGACGATGCACTGATTTGATGAATGTAGCAGCCCCCATTACGTGTGGACAAGCCTTTGATGGCTTCTTCCCATTTGGGACTGTCCCTTTTTCATTCTTGGGGGCTATGGCAGCTAAAATGGCCACTCCGGTAGCCAATATATCAGGCTGAATACATAAGAAACAAGAAAAGTACTACAGTTAGTTTTGCAAACAACTGGTACATTATCGAACTAAACCTGGTAAATGTACGGGTAGTACATTTTTTGTGGGTGCTATCTGATTTGTGACAATGATATCGACACGGCATGTAAAGCTTTTATTATCCGATTTCATTGGAGCTGTACACTTGCTTCAGAGTGAGAAGGTTAGTGCCAATCCAACTAAATATGGTTTCTGACTTTATAAATGTTTGGAGAAATGTAAAATTGGGAATGTACTCAAATTAAATACGTACGGATATATCTAATATTAAGGTGCAGGTGAATTTAAAAAAAAAATTAAATAAATAAAACAAAGAAGTGTAAGGTAAAGAAAATAACTTTGAGAACGTTTTCTGTAAGCTGTGCAGGACCCCTGGATGAAAAAAATGCAACAGCCGGTGCAGGACTACAACTTTTGGGAGAATCGTTGCTGTTAGGTTTCTGTTGTGTTAAGGCATAGAAAATTCATTACGCCCAACATAAAAATAGTAATCGTAACTGATGCGTATGAAAATTGTCGTAATAGAAGCTCAGATTCAATGACCATGTCCTTTAGCTAGGAATCACATTATCACATAGGTCTGACCAGAATATATCAGATATTCAGCAGCACATAATATCGAACAATGTAGCATACGACAAGAACATATAACCGAAATAGTGAGAATTAGTCCGACCGGAATTTATTAGATATTCAGCAGCACATAATATCGAACAATGTAGCATACGACAAGAACATATAACCGAAATAGTGAGAATTAGTCCGACCGGAATTTATTAGATATTCAGCAGCATATAATATCGAACAATGTAGCACACGACAAGAACATTTAAGAACCGAAATACTGAGAGTTGGTAAAAATAATCCCATGTATTCAACAGTGCAAGGAATTATATAGATCGAGCATTATGGACAACAAAAACACATAAATTTCTCAGCATAAATGGTTTGCATAAATGCTTACTTGGTAGAATTTATGTACTCGAGAATCTGAAACCCTGCAGTATTGCCAACTTCTGTAAATGGGAAAATGCCCGAATCGAAAGGTAAACCTTTCTCAGCTTCGTCAATCAAAATCAACCCTTTGGCTTTAGTATCAGCAACAACTAATTTCTTGATTCTCCGTGAAACAGCCGGGTCATCATCAACACAAACAACTATTTTGCCAACCACTTTCTTTTGATCCAATGATCCTGGATAGCAATTTCTGCAGTTAATTGCAAAACCAAAGATATTATCTAAATGCTAAAAGAATTATCACATGAACATGAATTTCCAAAAAGAAAAGAGACAGGAGGATGATGAATTATGATCACCTTGCTTCCGAAACAGGCGTGTAAATGCCAGTAGCATCTTTTCCAAATACAAGAGGATATGTCTTCGAACGAGTGAGATTGGAGAAATTGATGGCTGAACCCTATTAGATAACCTAGATATGAGAAACTTTTGGATAAGCAAGATACCGAAATACTAACTGCAGGACTTCATTAAACATCTTACTGTGAATGTTCTCCCATTTCCAAGAACGATATTAGATTGGAAATCCCTATCAATGTTAGAAGCTGCAACGGTAAAGATCCACGGTGCTGTGTTTACAATAGTGTGAGGATCAGGAGGATCAGGAGCATCAATTTTTTTAGACAATTTGACCTCAATTATTTTTCTTTGTGATATTTGAGAAATTTTTCAATAAAGGTGATACATCATGTGTTACTATACAAACGTAGTATATCATTTGTGTGTTGCGAGTTATATATTAATTAAAGTGTAAATAGTAGTTTATTATCCCACATTGGTGAAGTACATATATAATACCGATTGTAACTCCTATATATACTCCACTTTGGAGATCAATGAATATATAAGAAATTTCCAAATATTGTCATATATATTTTTGGTATTTACCATATTTAGTTTAATATTAGTATTTACCATGTTTAGTTTAATATGGCATCAGAGCAGTTCGCTTTTGATGACATGTGTGCTTTAATTTTGTGCCCACATTTTTCGTGATTTCCTTCGTGAAAAAAAAAAAGTGAATAGTGTCGCGCTACAGTACAATGCTTGAATAGTGGTCTGCTTTGTGAACAGTGGTCCTCTACAATGCCGTAAGCAGTGATTGCTACAGTGCCGTGAACAGTTTTTGCTACAGTGTTCTGGTAAATTATTTTCATTTCGCTGCGTATCTTTTGTGCCTTTATTGTTCGTGATTTTGTTCAATGGCTCAATATAAATCATAGTGTTGTTATGCATCTTGGTGGAACAAATAAATGGATAATTGATACTGGGGCCACTGATCATGTGACTAGTGACCCTAGAGTGTTTGATGAGTTATGTGACTATGTTCGTGATTCGTATATTACTAATGCAAATGGAGCACATTCCCCTGTGAAGGGTGAATGCACTATCTCTCTGACTCTAACCTTGTCATTGGTCCGTACTTTACTTGTTCCTGATGTTAAGGGCAATCTTTTGTCGGTAGGAAAACTTCTTGATACCTTATATTGTTCTGCTCACTTCTACCCTACGTATTGTTATTTTCAAGATATTCAAACTCAGAAGATAATTGGTTATGGTAAAAGAATAAGGGGTTTGTACATCTTGACTATGGATGATACTGTTGTTTATGGTTCAAATAATCATCAAGTTTTAAGTGCTAAAGTGGATGACATACATCAAATTTGGTTGTGGCATCGACGATTGGGACATCCATCATTTAGTTATATGAAACATCTATTTCCTTCTTTGTTTCGCACTTGTAGTGATTCGGAGTTCAAGTGTGAAACATGTGTCATGGCTAAGAGCCATCGTGCTTCCTTTTCCGTAAGCTTCTAAAGCTACTTTGTCATTTGATTTGATACATTCTGATGTGTGGGGTCCGGCGAAAGTTACTTCTAATGGATTCCGTTGGTTTGTTACTTTTATTGATGATTGTACTCGGTTAACTTGGGTGTTCTTGATGAAGAATAAGAGTGATGTTCCGTTACTTCTTCAAGAATTTTGTACAATGGTGTCTACTCAGTTTCAGACCAAAGTTAAGGTATTCAGGTATGATAACGGAGGAGAATATGTGAATCACACTTTGACATGTTTTTTTCGTGATCATGATATTATTCACCAGACAACTACTCCGTTTACACCCCAACAAAATGGTGTGTCCGAACGGAAGAATCGTCAAATAATGGAGGTTGCTCGCTCCTTGATGTTGGATAAATGTGTTCCTAATCATTTGTGGGGTCATGCTGTTTTGGCTGCTGTGTATTTGATCAATTGTGTTCCAAGTAGGGTTCTTGATTTTCAGACATCGTTCGATGTGCTACAAAAACATGTTTCTCTTGTTTCTGTATCAAAGCTTCCTCCGAAAGTGTTTGGTTGTATTGCGTATGTGCATGTCTACTTTCATCAGCGGAGTAAACTTGATGCATGTTCTCTCCGGTGTGTCTTTATTGGGTATGCTAACAATAAAAAAGGCTATAAGTGTTATCATTCTCCGACTCAAAAAACTTATATTACCATGGATGTCACTAGGGATGGGCACAGTTTGGTTCGGTGCGATTTTGAGTAAAACCAAAACCAAAACCAAAATTTTTTGCGGTTTGGTTCGGTGTGATTTTGAAGCCAAAACCGAAATGAAACCAAACCGTTTGGTTATGTTCGATGCGGTTTCAAACGGTTTCGTTTTGGTTTTTAAGAAAAAATGTACAATTTGCAATTTAACATATTAATAAGCATTTCCCATTAGCAATAGGAAAAAGACATTTGTTATATAAAGAATTAGCATGTTGCGTGCAGTTGTGATGTTAAAATATGTTTGTGCAACAAAAGGGTGTCCCGTACAAGGTATAACATAACACAAGTTGAATAACTTTGAATTCATTAAACATGAGCGAAACTTTCATACTAGAATATGTGATATCATGCTTCAAATGAGTGGACTTCATTAGATCATTGTTCGACTCTTGATAACAAGATTAGTCCACCCTTGTACATATATGTGTGTGTGTGTGTGTGTGTGATGGTATAAAATAACAAAGGTCCTTCAAGTTAATGAACGAAAGAAAGTGATGAATGATGATATTCTAGTGTGGTTGTGTCCATACTAAGTGCATGGATTCTAACAAACAACCCATTAAAACATGAAATTTAATTAAATGTTTATTAATATTTGCGGTGCGGTTCGGTTTCGGTTCGGTTTTCAAAAGCCAAAACCGAAACCAAACCGTTTTCTATGTTGCGGTTCGGTTTCAAAATCGAAACCGTTCCAAAACCACAAAACCAAACCGTTCGGTGCGGTTCGATTTGGTTCGTGTTTCGGTTTCGATTTTCGGTTCTAAGTGCCCACCCCTAGATGTCACCTTCCATGAGGAAGTTTCGTATTTTGTGAAGCCCTCTTCCGACTCTTCACTTCAGGGGGAGAGGGGGAGTGAAGTGCAGTTTCGAAGAGATGGTATGGATGATGTGTTACAGGCAGAATTGGGAACATAACCTATTATGTTGCTTGATACTGATCAGTCGACTACATATAGTGATCGGTCACCTATTATTCCTGGAACTATTTCTACTGACAATAGATCAGATGTGCCCAACGAGTTGCCTGTTAGTATGTCTGACGAATTACCTGATGATGGTTCGTCCAGTGATGATTCTTCTAACAGTTTAGTACAAGATGGTGGCAAACATGAGGTAAATTCTGACGATTCTTCTACTTATCAGTTGCCTCTACGAGCTAATCGTGGAAAACCTAAAGTACAATATGAGCCTGATATGCATGCCAAAGCCAAATATCCCATCAACAATTATGTGTCTACTCATCGTTTATCCAAACCATATGCATCTTACATATGTAAGCTATCTAGTGTATCAATTCCAACAAAATTGCAAGATGCTTTGTCTAACCCTAAGTGGGTTAATGCCATGCAAGTTAAGATGGAAGCTTTGGAAAAGAATTCTACTTGGGATTTGGTTCCTTTACCAAACGGGAAGAAAGCTGTTGGATGTAGATGAGTATTTATATGGTGATCTTAAGGATGAAGTGTATATGGATCTCCTACTTGATATTGGAACATCTCCTGGAAAAGGTGTTGTATGCAGGTTACGAAAGGCCTTGTATGGTTTGAAACAATCTCCTAGAGTGTGGTTTTGGAGGTTTACAAGTTCAATGAAGAAGTTTGGGTATATCCAGAGTCATTCAGATCATACTTTGTATCTAAAGCGACAAAATGGTAAGCTAACTGCATTGATTATTTATGTTGATGACATGATAGTGACTGGTGATGATCAGAAGGAGATACAACGCCTTCAAAAGTACCTAGCTAATGAGTTTGAGATGAAAGAATTGGGTGAATTGAAGTATTTTCTTGAAATCGAGGTTGCACGATCCAAGCATGATATTTTTTTGTCTAAACGGAAATATGTTCTTGATTTGTTAGCTGAAACAGGTATGTTAGATTGCAAACCTGTTGATACTCCGATTGAGCAGAATCATCGTCTGGGCTTATTTCCAGATCAAGTTCCTACTCGTAAGGAACCGTATTAGAGGTTTGTGGGGAGATTAATTTATTTGTCTCACACTCGCCCTGACATTGCTTATGTAGTTAGTATGGTAAGTCAGTTTATGCACTCACCTAGTGAAGCTCATATGGATGCAGTAACCCGTATTTTGAGGTACTTGAAGATGGCTCCTAGCAGAGGCCTGGTTTTCTCCAAGAATGGTCATTTGAATGTCGACGGGTATACAAATGCAGATTGGGCAGGTTCTATCACTGATCGGCGATCTACATCTGGATACTTTACGTTTGTGGGTGGTAATTTAGTTACTTGGAGAAGCAAGAAACAAAAAGTGGCTAGGTCAAGTGCAGAAGCTGAGTTTCATGGTATGTTGCATGGTGTATGTGAGTTGTTGTGGTTGAAAAAATTGTTGAGAGATCTTGGGTTTAACCCCAAAGGTGCTATGAAACTTCATTGTGATAACAAGGTTACTATTGAGATTGCTCATAATCCAGTGCAACATGATCGAACAAAACATGTGAAGATTGATCGACATTTCATTAAGGAAAAATTGGATGCTGGAATTATTATGTTTCCATTTGTGAGATCTGAAGATTAACTTGCTGATGCTCTTACTAAGGCTGTGTCTAATAGTGTGTTTTCCAACTCGCTTGACAAGTTTGGCATGCGTGACATCTTTGCACAAACTTGAGGAGGAGTGTTGCGAGTTATATATTAGTTAAAGTGTAAATAGTAGTTTATTGTCCCACATTGGTGAAATACATATGTAATACCAATTGTAACTCCTATATATACTCCACTTTGGAGATTAATGAATATATAAGAAATTTCCAAATATTGTCATATATATTTTTGGTATTTACCATATTTAGTTCAATATTGGTATTTACCATGTTTAGTTTAATATTGTGTTCCCGTCACAATAAAAATTTATCGTGATATCTGTGCTCGTGGGACCCACCCACGTGGGCTTCCCCTCCCCTTTGTCGCCGTGTCCCATCTCTCCCTTCATCTCCCTGTCCTTCTCAACTTTCATTTCACTCTCTTAGCTATCTCTCTCACTGTCTCAAACTCTCTCTTTCTATTGATATTGTGCTCGTTGCACAAATGCAGCAAATGTGACCACCGTCACCATTTTCATGGAGAGCACCGGCACCACAAAACCCAAACCATCTCATTTCCCTGACCTAAACCTTGAGACAAGACTAGTCTAAAATAAAGCTTTCACGCAGTGCCATCGCCACTGTTCATGATTACCTCCGACGAATCTTCGTCGATTTCGACTAAGGTAGGGTTTGAACTTGTTGGATTCCTCGTGTCGAAACTATGGATTATAATTCATTTCATGCATTTTGGTGAAGGTTTGACGTTGAAACACCTCGAGGAATATTTCCTAGCTTTTTGGAAAAGCAGAACCGTGGCCTTCAAGCCATCTTCAAGCCATTTTTCTGGCCAATGCTGACCATAACTCAGCCCCACATTGGTATAAATCAATTCTCTACATTCCTAACTCTACTTTTAGCTTTTAAATCATTGATTTTGGTTGAGAAATGAGCTCGGAAAAAAAGGGCATACAACCTGCAATCTGTAGGCCTTCGAGATGAAGGCGAGTACATTGGTGCTTGGGGTGTGTGGACGCGTGTGGGTGGCGTCCAGTCCTCGGCTTGTGCCTACTAGTGCAACTACCTTGTGGAGGCTTGTAGAGGAACTCAAGGTCCCTTCATAGCTTTCCCGACCTGCCTAACTTAAATCTACCGTCCGTTTTTTGAAATTCGATCCTAACTTAAATCTGCCGTCCGTTTTTTGAAATTCGATCGTTTTAAAATAATTCATTTATTAGCCGTACTTTGTATAAATACGCGAATTTACATTAGTAAGTTATATATTTACGTAAGTGATTTCATTTCCAAGTGAAACGTATCGCAAGGATCTTCGATGCCAGCAAGGCAGGTTCGACCCGATGACATGATTGTGAGGGGGTCTTTGCTTTTAAATATTATATATTTATTTAGTTTCCATTTATATAATTAATAAAGAATTTTCTACGTTACGCCTATATTAGATTAACGTTGATAAGAATTAGTACATTGACGGAATTTATGAAATTATTCTACGTCCTATGGGATCCTAAGGTATGTGTACTATTATGAGATGCTTTAATTATAAGGAAAACTAATGAAAAGAGCTTGAAAACTTTGAGTTTTAATGATAAGGACAAAATAAAGGGTAAAGTGAATAGTACCAGTATTGACTTTTTAGTGTAAAAATGTGGTTTTTCATTAAAATGAAAGTACCGGGTGCTTTTCGTTAAAGTTCCCTTAATTATATTTGTGGCCGAAATAGTATTTTATTGATTAGAACTATACATTGGTATTAGTACTTACCCAGGTCAAGACCAGTGTATGTTCACATAGCATCAGTACGCTCACTTTGGATCCATTATAGGTGTCAATCTTGACCTAGATTGCTATATAGACAACTAGGACTCGAATGTGATGTGCATACCAGTCTTGATGTGATTGTATTACTAAAACGTAAATCATTATTACACCTAGCCTTTTTCTTCTGTCTTTTCTGTCACACTCAACCTCTCTGTAACCCTTTCTCTTTCACTCTCTTTCAGACTCTCCATCTCTCTCAACCCTCACCATCTTCACCTTCTCCTTAAAACCCAGAGGCCGAGAGGCCTGAGTCCACATCACGTGGCGAGCCTCAACTCCATCAAATAACTACTAGCTCCCTGGAGCTCCCTCTTTCTCTTCTCTGTAAACACCGAGCGCAACAACGCCCCCATTTTCCGGTAAAGCATCACCACAAAACCACCACCACCACCCACCCTGTTCTTCTCAGGACACACAGGGTGCGTTTGGTACGTGGGACGGGACGGGACGGAACGGGACGAGGCGTTCCGTCCCGCGTTTGGTGCGCCAAAAATGGGTGGAACGGGCTGTTCCACGGGACAGATTTTGGGTGTTTTTGCGTTCCACCTCCCCCCTGGAACGGGTTTGTTCCACGTCTGTGGAACACAATGTTTTACCATTTTAAGACAAATATACCCCATGTCTTTTTCAAAAATTACACCTTCGTTCCGTCCCGTCCCGTCCCGTCCCGTCTGCGTACCAAACGCACCCACAGGGAAGGCCTTTCACTGTGCAGTCAGTTCTAAAATGTCCGGTCTTACCGTGATGGATTATCGGGTTCTTACGTCGGGTCGTTCAAACGGGGCATTCAGGTATGGTATTTATTTGATTAATTAATTAAATATTTATCGATTACATTTATGTTTTGATTTCTTTTGGATTTTTTTTTAATTTTTGTATATTTCTGTTTTTCTTTAATTATTGTCTGGAATATGGACTTCTGAGTTTTGCATTCATGCAACTTTATGCTTCTGGGTTTGTTGTTTTAGAGCTAAAGAAGATAATTTAAGTATAATTTGAATCATTGAAGTGATCACCGCTCCCGATACCGCTCCCGACCTCGGTAAGCCTCCCTTACACTCCTCCCTTGTGTTTTCAATTTGGGACTCGAATTCAAGCTTTCTTGTCTTTTAGTTTTTTCATACTTTCTTACCAATACGATGTCCCTTTTATCTGTGGAATTTTTTTAACTGATCATTATGTAAAATAAGAGTAAAGAACAAGGCCACCTGAATATTAAAGAACTCTTATGATGTACGTTTCACATTAATAAATTAACTCTATGTAACTAGGTGTGTCAATTATCTGTGTCATTGTCACTTCTTATGTCTAATTAGTCTGTGATTCAAACTTGCAGTATGTTCTATAAAATCAGTGATGAGATAAAATCAGAGAAGCTCGAGAAAGGAATACGCGACATCATAACAGAGATTGTTTTGAAAAGAGAAAGACGGCAATGACTGGAGAAGCAGACGGTTTTGGAAGTGATTATCTTGGAATACTTTTAAAGGCTCGTCATGATGCACACGAGAAGCAGCGGATTTCAGTGGACGATTTAGTCGAAGAGTGCAAGACGTTTTACTTTGCTGGACATGAAACCACTAACTCTTTGCTTGCTTGGACCGTCTTTCTTCTGGCTCTTCATACAGATTGGCAAGGGGAAGCTAGAAAGGAGGTGCTATAATTGTTTGGTAAAGATGAAACTCCAAACTCAGATGGCCTCAACAAACTTAAACTGGAAGAAGATAAATCCTAAGGGCTTACTAAGCACATTAAAAATTTAAGTGCTTCTTGATCGATGCTATCTAACTTCCATTTTTATATTGATGCATGCAGATGGGTATGATCATCAATGAGTCTCTAAGGTTATATCCTCCTGCTGTGTCCCTTACTAGGGAATCTCTAAAGGAAGTTAGACTAGGACAGGTTGTCGTTCCCGCTAATGTTGAGTTGCACGTCACAAACCTGGCACTTCACCATGAACCTAAATATTGGGGAAAAGACATGCAACTTTTCAAACCGGAGAGATTCTCAAAAGGGGTTGCGAAAGCTACTAACAACAACGCAGTTGCATTCATACTTTACAGGTAGAGAGGAAGCTGCGAAAGAGATGTGATCAACGATAAACAGGTAAGCATCACCCTCTTCCTTCTTTTGTTATGATTGGTTGTATCGAGAACTGAGAAAAAAGTTGTAAGACAATTCCGCGCTTTGAGTTATAGCAATTAGTAAATATAAAATGACATTGATTAGTTCACTTAAGTGTTGAGTCCTTTCTTTAGCTTATTTGTGGTGTGTGCTTGAGAATAAAAGCAATGGACATTATATGGAATTGATGTTCCTTTTAATATCCGTAAAGATGAGGAATTGTTCCTTTATTAGCAATTATATGAAGTAGGGATATTATGCAATACAATTTCTACAATTGACTATTTTACTTTTGTGTATATAGGTACAACTATTGATCGAAAGCCACAGAAACTACCTAAGGGCTGAAAAACTGTGTGTTAGAAGAACAGAATATGGTGCAAAGCTTAAATTTTGGGCACTTAAATATATGTTTTTGTTTTCAATTACAATAACTTGCATGAAAATTCAATTGGGTTTGCTCTCTCTCTCTCTCTCTCTCTCTCTCTCTCTTGCAGTTTCTCTGCCTCTTCTCATCAAACTTCAATTCGTCATGAGTTTGCCATACAACGATGAAATCGCGCAAGGTTTCGTTGATTTCGGTCGACTCGGGCCACCCCCAACGTCCGGTAAGGTATCAATCTATTCCTCTCCTCACGAATGTAGCTTCTCTGGTTTTCACTTTGATTTTTTATAGAAGGTATGAGATTTCTTTAATTTTTTGCTTGATTTATGATTTTTTTGTGGATTGGACTAGCTGGGGGCTATGGGTCTCTTCGAATTTGGATAGTCTAGGGTTTCTGACGAGTTTTCTGTTTGTGGTTTTGGTTTTTAGGGATTGCACTAGAAAAAGGGCTGGAGGGGATTTCAAACCGTATAAAGGTATACTTCGTTAGAATTCGATATTTAGTTAGCAATTTTATTCTGGTTTATTGTGGTTTTTTTTTTTTTTTTTTTTAATTTTATGTTCAGCTTTAATTTCTTGGTTCGGAAGCTAAAGACTGAAATCTTACATTTCAGATTTGATAGCTTATACTTGCTTACATTTTTTTTTATTGAATTGAGAGATTGAAGATTTATAGATGGGAAAGTGTCTCCAAAGGAGAGGAATTTGAAGAACCTGAAACAGAAGAACCGATGAGGTTCTGATTGAATTGAAGTTCTCAAATGATTTAGCAATCAGTCATTGCCTCGGTTGCATGGATAGTGTATGAAGTATGGTTTTATTGGTCAGTATACAAATGTGAAAATTGGTATTCATTTAATGGGTCAATTCATCTTTAATATGGATCTGAATATCTTAAATCATATATGCTTGGGTATTGTGTTGTTGAACTCTGGAAAACGACTGTGCTTCATTTTCTTAAGGGAAAAAAGTTCTTTACTTTTTTTGGTTTTCTTGGCCACCAAATGGGGAATATTTCATTTTCTTTATTTGTGTTTGTACTTGTAGTGATGTAATTCAGGTTCTGTTTATATAAAATAAGTTTATTCTGATTGTTTTCGGGTTGAAGAAAGGAGTTGTCTTTTATTGTTTGGGTTTTGTTTCTTCTGTGTTTCTATAATTTAGAAAAATGTTCGTCGCTGTTTGTTAGCAAACTCTATTAGTTGGATTGCTCCCTAAACAGATAGTGAACTAGCTTAATTTTTCATTAAAATCACAAGCTTTAAGATCTGAGTCTGCCATATTAGTACCATTCATTAGTTTTTAATCCCATTAATTATATTTTGAACATGTTTATTTTTCATGCAACAATAGTTATAAACATGTGAATTCTTTTACATCTTAAAAATAAGAAACTGATCGGGTTCTTATTTTCCAAGCCTGGTCTATTCTGCATCAGGTTCACTTCTGGGCATCATTACGGGCGTCAATTTCTTTAGAACTTATGGATAAGTAGTTTCTCTATATCAGTTGATGGACTCGGTAAGTGAATTCAATTATAGTTTTCGTAGCCGAGTTGATATCTTATCAACTGCACTGTTCTCCTTCTTTTCTTTTAGAGTACATTTGTTTTCTATTGAATTAGTAATAAAAATAACTGGGGAAGGAAATTCAGAAAGAAAAAAAAAAGGTTTTCTTGGATTTGTTTGTGGAGATTTTCTTTAGAATTTACTCATTTTGGTATGTTGTGATTACACTTAAAACAGATTATATGTCAATATTGTGGGGTTATAACACATCGGTTTTGGAAAGCATCATTTTGCATTGTGAATTCTGAATTCTGTGTTTAATTTCGCTTTTGTGTTTTGAATTTGAATTTGTAGTCTGACTATGATGTCAATGCAGATTGTCTACTATCAATCTCAGACACTAGACTATTCCTTCAATCAATTGAGCAAAGTCAGTTCATTTGCAGACTGCCTGGTTATGAGTTTACTTTTAACAGTCTGGTAATTTGCAACCAAATTTTCTTTTTCAACTTATGCTCGGTTTACTATTCTTCTGCAGCTTATATTTTCACCGATTCAGTCTTCAGTAGATGGCTGAGGAATTTCCACATGTAGCATTGTATCAAGTTATCATTGATCATAGGGTATGGCATTGTAAGATTATCTTCTGTTCACTTTGATCAAATATTTATCGACCGTTTTAGTTTTTTTTTATTTTTTTTTATTTTGCCTCAAGTTTAGTTGACTTAAGCTTTGTTTATTATCTCTGCAGTACGAAGAAGGCCTTGATAATGTAATGAGAGAGTCCAATATCAACTGGACAGTAAATAAAAAAAAAAAAAAGGTCGTACCCAGTGCACAAGGCTCCCGCTTTACGCAGGGTCTGGGAGAGGTGAATGTCGGCTAGCCTTACCCCCATTTATGGAGAGGCTGCTCCCAAGTAAATGATCCATTATTTTTGTTTTTTTTAATGCAATATCCATACTTAGTGTAATTTTTACCATATGTTTAACCTTTTTTTTTTTAAAATTAAAATCCACCAATTTGGTTGTGGTTTGTTCTATGATAATTGTGTAAAGATGACCATGTTGTACATTACATAGTTTGGGAATTAGACTAAGCAATTTGATCAATCTGAGTAAATATATTTTAGCTTTTCTTACATTTGAACTGTTAAGATAGAAAAGTAATGGATGATTTACATAAAACTCAAAAATTATGAGTGTGTCATTGCATATGCACATATTGCTCCTAAATACTAATCAATCAATATAATTTGTTTTTGGAAAACTAAGTGTCTTCTTATAATTAAAATATTTGAAATCACTGGTCTGTAGTCCTCTTGATTCATGGCTTTAACGCCTCCTGATGAAATAACTACAACATCATCACTTCTTTCATTAGATAGATTTAAACATTCTACCCATTGTTGGGTTTCTTTAACGAGTTTCACCCATTTGTCATAAAATTAGATGAGGTGACTTCATACCATCTCATAGTATTGTAAGAATATAACATGATATTTGATTCTTTTTCTTTTTTTTCCACGAGTCTCAATTTAGTGGAGTGAACTAAGAATTCAGGGCTTTTATTAATGATAGACCACAGGCCACTTTAAAGGTAAATCCAGATGCCAATCGCTATGCAATTTAGCTTTTATTTTTAGCGTGTTCTGAGTGACCATTGAATTTACATGTTTAGTTGTTTTCGTTTTACTCTTCTGATGGGTATGTGTGTAACTATTCTGTTTATCCCCATTCTCTGGTGGTGTTTACTGCATTGTTGCTACACAATCTTTAATGGTTCCATTGCTGGACATAAAAAAAATTTCGACTATTGTTTTTTCTTTTTTTTTTCTATTTTATTTATCTGCATATTATTTTGGTTTGTTGAAATTTCGATTATAGTTTTCTTTGTGCTGGATGTAAAAGGTTTCTCTTCAAAGATTATATATAGCTCCAGTAGTGGGTTTCTTTGGTTCATGTCGTACATGGTGGTTAACCATGTTTTTCAAGGTGGCTCACCTTCTTTAATTGCAGGTTCGACAGAAAGTTGAAGAACACATAAGATCACCAACTTTTTATGAGGTCTTGCTCATACTTAGTTGTTTGTTTTAGCATAGATTTTACTATAACTCTTACTTTTAAGGCATGTGTGTGTGTATATGTGTGTATGGATATATGGGTTGCACAGATGCCACCCAAGCCTAAGCATTAGAAAAAGTTTGTTCTCCTTAATTTGTTCTCTATCATAAGGTCAGCTCCTTAGCTTCCCTTTGTTCTACCGCTACTCGAAAAATTATGCGCTTTTAACATTGTTCCATTGCTATGACTATGACACATTGATTCTCTTTCGACTGATTACCATATCGTGTTGCAATCAATTGACAGTCTCTGTGATTAAGTTGCAACTTGAATGTTTTCTTGCCTACTTCTAACTTTGGGTGTTTCATTCTGCACACTGTTATTGGGATGACCATGATCATGTAAGCACCAATATTCTGTTGGAAATTCAAATTAAAAGCCATGTGATGTCTAACTATCTGTCCATGTGATGCTAGCTTTTCTTTCCAGGTTGTATCCAGCAAATATAAACATCATTGCTCCTCCATTTGTTAACCGAAAGCTGATTTAAAGACGGCAGAGATGTGAGCTGCTGTGTGCTAGCCGAAAGGTTGTGTTTGCAAGCTGGAAGGATGCAATGCATGTGTGTGCCAACTATCCAAAGTTGCTGCATGTGTTTGAAAGGGTGGAAAGAGGGTAAACACCATCATTCATTGCATGTTGTTGTATTGTTTATCAATTTCTGTTTTGTATAAATAGGCCTTCTTGCTAGGCTTTAGAACATCAATTCCATTCCAATTCCTTTCTCATTTTCAGCTTGTAAGCTATTGAGTTTGTAAACTCTCTTTTCATATATTAAAGTCCAAGTGTTTTGCCAAAGCTTGTTGCTTCCCTCTTTTCTCTATTTCTTTGTCCAATTTTATTGAGAGTGCAAAGTGAGAGGTGTGATAGAGTTTGTAAACTTATCACCCACATATTTTGGTAGAGTTAGTAAACTTGTCAATACCAACAATTGGTATCAGAGCCAGAATACCATTCTGGCAAGTGCAGCAGTTATGGCGTCCAACTTAGTGCAGCTCCAGGTTTCCACATTGAAGAAAGAAAATTACGAAAGATGGTGCATCCAATTCAAAGCATTGTTTGGATCACAGGAGCTATGGGAAATAGTCAATAGTGGGTATATTGTACCCACTACCGAGCAAGAAGCCGCATATACTGCAGAACAAAGGAACACTCTCAAGGACTTACGAAAGAAGGACCAAAAGGCGCTGTATTTTCTATACCAAGGTCTGGAAGATTCAACGTTCGAGAAGGTTGCAGAAGCAACAACGAGCAAGCAAGTATGGGACACACTCAGTACAATCTACAAAGGAGTAGATCGAGTCAAGAAAGTGAGGTTACAGTCACTTCGAGCAGATTTTGAAACTGCTCACATGAATGAAGGGGAGAGCATCTCCGACTATCACTCAAGGCTCATTGTGATAGTAAATCAGATGAGGAGAAATGGCGAGAGACTCGATGAAGTACGAGTTGTGGAGAAGATACTCGGGTCACTCACATCTAAGTTTGAGCATGTGGTGACTGCCATTGAGGAATCCAAGGATTTGGAGGCGATGAGCGCAGAGGAGCTACTAGGATCCCTCCTAGTTCACGAGCAACGCATTCAGAAGAATGCAAGCCCCACAACGCTAGAGCAAGCTTTGGAGTCAAAGTTGAATATTGACAAACCAAATGGAGGTCGTGGGCAGTGGAACTCACGTCGTGGGAGTTCATCCAACCGTAGCCGAGGACGAGCCCGAGGAAGAGGTCGAGGCTATGCACAAAACCGAGGTCAATCTCAAGAGTGGAAATCAACTCGAGGAAAGGCGCATATCCAGTGTCACAGTTGCAAGCAATATGGACATTATGCAAATGAATGTTCATATAAAAATGGTGAGCATGTCAACATGGCAGAATCAAGTGGAAATGCTGGTGAGGAATTTACAGTCTTACTAGCACACCATGATATTAGTAGCCAACAAGATGTTTGGTATTTAGACTCTGGTGCAAGCAACCACATGTGTGGAAAGAAAGTGTTTTTTGCCGAACTCAAAGATGGGCCTTATGGATCTGTGAGTCTTGGTGACTCCTCAAAGTTGCCAGTTAAAGGCAAAGGAAAGATCAAAATCATCCAGAAGGATGGTAAAGAAGAATACATCTCCGATACCTACTACATACCAGGTATGAAGAGCAACATTCTGAGCATTGGTCAACTGCTCCAGAAAGGGTATGTTATACATATGGAGGATATGTTTCTCACTCTCAGGAATGCAAGGAGAAAGCTTATTGCACGTGTTCAAATGTCAAAAAGCCGAATGTTCCCGTTGAAGTTGAACACAAAGATTGGGAGTTGCAACATCGGTGTAATGGAAGATGAGTCATGGAAATGGCATCTTCGATTTGGCCATCTTCATTTCAATGGCCTAAAGTTGTTGTCAAGTGGAGGAATGGTTCGTGGTCTACCCCAGATTGAAGCCACACGCCAAGTATGTGAAGGTTGTGTGTTTGGCAAGCAAGCACGACTATCATTCCATGTTGGTGATACATGGAGAGCAAAGGCACCACTGCAGATGGTACACACGGATATATGTGGTCCATTGGATCCTATGTCTTATGGAGGTAATAGGTATTTTATTACTTTCATTGATGATTTTAGTAGGAAGACTTGGGTTTATTTTCTCAAGGAGAAGTCAGCTGCCCTAAGAATCTTCAAGGAGTTCAAGGCACTCACAGAGGCTGAAAGCAACCACAAGCTTGTGGCTGTGAGATCAGATAGAGGTGGAGAGTACACCTCCAATGCTTTCCAAGCATACTGCAAGGAGCAAGGAATTAGGCATCAACTGACTGCTGCCTATACCCCACAGCAAAATGGGATAGCCGAAAGAAATAATCGAACCATCCTTGACATGACAAGGTCCATGCTTAAGGAAAAGAATTTGCCAAAAGGATTGTGGGCAGAAGCTGTAGCTTGTTCGATTTATTTGTTGAATCGATGTCCAACAAAGAGTGTCAAGAGGATGACACCACAAGAGGCTTGGAGTGGATACAAGCCGAATGTTGCACACCTAAGAGTTTTTGGGTGTGTTGCATATGCTCAAGTTCTAGAAGCCAACAAGAGAAAGCTCGATGATCGAGGTGAGAAGTGTGTGTTTGTGGGCTATAGTGAAGAGTCCAAGGCATACAAGCTCTACAACCCACTAACTGGCAAACTAGTGGTTAGTAAAGATGTTATCTTCAGTGAGGAAGAGGCATGGAAGTGGAACAACAAAGAAGTCAGTAAAGAGAAGATTGTCTCCACTGATTTTGAAGAACCAGAAGTTGTACCACTTGTTGAGCAACAACCTGCTCAAACAAACACAACAACTCCATTGCACAGAACTGCAAGGAGTGGTCCTACATCCAGTGAAGAAAGCAGTTCATCAACTCCAGTGAGGCTAAGAAGTCTTATCGAGATATATGGACAAGAAGAAGAAGAAGAAACCAACCTTTTCTGCTTGTATGCAGACCACGAGCCTCTCTCATTCAATGAAGCTGTGGAAGAAGATCGTTGGAGAATAGCCATGGAGGAAGAAATCCATGCTATCGAGAAGAATGACACTTGGGAGTTGACAAAGCTCCCACCAAATCAGAAGGCTATTGGTGTCAAGTGGGTGTACAAGATCAAACGCACTGCAGATGGGAGTGTGGATCGATACAAATCAAGGCTTGTAGCAAAGGGCTACAAACAGATGTACGGAGTGGACTATGATGAAGTCTATGCTCCAGTTGCAAGACTTGACACGGTAAGATTACTAATCTCTCTTGCCGCTCAGCATAAATGGAAAATTTATCAATTAGATGTCAAGTCAGCCTTCCTTAATGGAGTTCTTGAGGAAGAAGTGTACGTGGAACAACCAGAAGGCTTTCATGTACAAGGAAAAGAAGATAAGGTGTATCATTTGAAGAAGGCTTTGTATGGCCTCAAGCAAGCACCACGAGCTTGGAACTCAAGGATTGATAACTACCTTCACCAAAATGGATTTCAGAAATGTCCATATGAGCATTCAGTTTACATGAAGAACGGTGAAAAAGGGGAGTTCTTAATTATTTGTCTCTATGTAGATGACTTGTTGTTTACAGGAAACAATGAAGCAATGTTCTGTGAGTTCAAGCAATCCATGTTCAATGAATTCGAGATGACTGACAATGGATTAATGTCATACTTTCTTGGCATAGAGGTGAAGCAAGAAAGTGACGGTATCTACATCTCTCAACAAGTACATGAGAGATATATTGGAGAAATTCAATATGGATAAGTGCAATATTGTCAACACTCCAGTTGCAACTGGATTGAAGCTGTCTAAGGAAGGAGAAGGTGAGTTTGTAAACTAAACCGTGTACAAAAGCTTGGTTGGAAGCCTAATGTACCTTACAATCACAAGACCTGATATAGTTTATGGTGTTGGACTCGTGAGTCGATACATGGAAACACCAAGGGAGTCTCATTGGCTGGCTGCCAAGAGAATTTTGAGGTACATAAAAGGTACTCTAAACTATGGTCTATTTTATAATTTTGGTGAAGATGCAAAATTATTTGGTTATTCAGATAGTGATTGGGGAGGTGACCAAGATGAAAGGAAAAGCACAACTGGCTATGTGTTTTTTCTAGGATCAACAGCTTTCTCATGGACTTCAAAGAAGCAATCAATTGTTGCTTTGTCATCATGTGAAGCCGAGTATGTTGCTGTAGCCTCAACAGTGTGTGAGGCAATTTGGTTAAGAAATCTATTGAAGTCAGTGTGTCATCCACAAGTGGAATCGACTGTGATTCATGTGGATAACATGTCTGCAATCAAGCTTGCAAAGAATCCTGTTCAACATGGAAGGAGCAAACACATTGATACCAGGTTCCATTTTCTAAGGGACCATGTAAAGCAAAAGACAATTGAGTTTGTCTATTGTCACAAGAAGGAACAAGTGGCAGACATCTTCACTAAGCCACTACCAGTTGAATCATTCTGACTACTACGTGAAATGCTAGGCATGAAGGCGTTTTAATTTGAGGGGGCATGTTGGAAATTCAAATTAAAAGCCATGTGATGTCTAACTATCTGTCCATGTGATGCTAGCTTTTCTTTCCAGGTTGTATCCAGCAAATATAAACATCATTGCTCCTCCATCTGTTAACCGAAAGCTGATTTAAAGACAGCAGAGATGTGAGCTGTTGTGTGCTAGCCGAAAGGTTGTGTTTGCAAGCTGGAAGGATGCAATGCATGTGTGTGCCAACTATCCAAAGTTGCTGCATGTGTTTGAAAGGGTGGAAAGATGGTAAACACCATCATTCATTGCATGTTGTTGTATTGTTTATCAATTTCTGTTTTGTATAAATAGGCCTTCTTGCTAGGCTTTAGAACATCAATTCCATTCCAATTCCTTTCTCATTTTCAGCTTGTAAGCTATTGAGTTTGTAAACTCTCTTTTCATATATCAAAGTCCAAGTGTTTTGCCGAAGCTTGTTGCTTCCCTCCTTTCTCTATTTCTTTGTCCAATTTTATTGAGAGTGCAAGTGAGAGGTGTGATAGAGTTTGTAAACTTATCACCCACATATTTTGGTATTGAGTTAGTAAACTTGTCAATACCAACATATTCAAGCTCTTTATGTCTCTGTATACATAAACTCAAGATTTTATTGAACTTGCACAAGTTTATTTACTTTTCAATGATATGGAAATTCATTAGGAGCTTCTACTGGTAGGTTCACTGTAGGTGATGCTCGGGAGTGACGCTGTAATCCAGCAAGTACATTTTGTAGGATTTATTATCAACTTGTAGGTAGATGATATAGAATTTATTAAGGTAGTTCAATATACACAAGAGACAAAAAAACAACAAAAAAATGATTACGAAAGTAACTTTCTTTTTCATTATTGAAAGTGCATTACAACTATATCATAGTTTGTTTCATGGTCGGGATTGTTCCAGTTTTTCCTTTTCTCTTCTCATATGTAGGTGTTTTCATTTCTCAGCAATCAAATCATAAATTACATGTACCTAATATTTTTGTTTAGTTATATTTTATTCAATTGGAGGTCGCACTTGGTGTGATGGCAAGTGCCTTCGCCCATGAGCGGTAGGTCTCAGGTTCGAGACTTGGGAGCAGCCTCTCCATAAATGGGGGTAAGGCTAGCCGACATTCACCTCTCCCAGACCCTGCGTAAAGCGGGAGCCTTGTGCACTGGGTACGACCTTTTAGTTATATTTTATTCAATTATTCTTATAGTTTTTGGTACATAATATTCTTATAATTTTTTGTTGACTGCGATTTATGGTTTTGCAGAGTACAAGAAAAAGTCTTTCTCATCGCTGCATGCTTTTCTGCTGAGAGAGGAGGCAATGGCAAGTTCTTATTCGGGAGCTGTTAGTGTTGTTCAGGTCAAGATTCAATCTTTATACTATTTACGGTGTGTGTTTATTTGTTGTGTGTATGTATAGGTGGATTTGTATTGTGTGTAATGGGTGGTTGGGGGTTTTTGCAGGTGGGTTCGTACTTTGTGACCCAGTACTATCAGATTCTTCAAAAGCAACCTGATGTTGTTCATCAGTTCTATTCTGATGGAAGCTCCATGATTCGTGTCAATGGCGATTCCACGGAATCTGCTGCCGGTATACTGGTAATTGGTGTCTTCTTACTCTTAGCAGCACGGAATTGAGTTTCCTGGTTCTGTTATTTTTATTTTTCTTTGGTCAAGGATAAATCATCCTGTGTTTCTAGGAAATGATAGTCACTATGCATTGGCTTGGTCTTAATTTTTACTATTTTGACCAAGAGGTGTGCCCCAGTTTGATTTTAAAACTTGCCTCTCTATTATTATGTTAAGCTACAATTAAATGTTTGTTGGAGTCTGAATATCAGGAATTGGAATGTTGTTTATTGACTTTTTCTGCATATGCACCGTTTGCTCCCTCTAACGTCCCCGATGCTTTCCTTTAATCTTGGATAACTTAAGATTGTTGTTGTCTGTCATCATCTGTAAGATTGCAGATAAGTGGTAGTTGATGAGGTTCATCCCAATTACGAACAAAGAACAAATAAAAAAGACACTTTAGATGTATTGAGTTGTTGGAATTGATTATCACCTTAAGATTGTTGTTGGCCGGTAAGGAAGGGGTTACTGAGGGAGGTATGGGAGAGTTTGATTTCTCTGTTTCCTCCCTTGATTCAACAGGTAATGCACTGTTTTCAGTTGGTGTCCTCTGACTCAAATTTAAAAATGGTTTCTTGACTGTTTAGTTGGTTGAACAACATCCTTTCCTACTTTATAAATCTCATTTTCTTTATTTTTGCTCATACCGGCTCACTCCACTCTCTCTCTGTGATTCTCTCAGTGATTCTGGGTTCCGTAATGCCATTTTTGCGTCTGAAGAAACCTAATTGCAGGTTCCTTTTCCATTTCCAAGCTTCTGTTATGCTTTGTGCTACTGTATTTTCTGTTGTTAATGAGGCTCGATTGAAATATGCATCATTTTGATTGAAATACGCATCATATTTTTGAAACTCTTTATCTCATTGTTTTTTGAGTAATTTTCTGGAAGTGAGGTTGAATTCCAATTGGTGGTCTCTGTCTGAGATTTAATTCTTTTTAAACACTCCTCATAGGCCATTATGATTGATAGTTGCTTGCTAAACCCAAGTGAAAGTGTCGCGTAGCAGTATAAACTCGACGTCCGAGTGTCGTATTCCTCAAAGAGCGTTGAAAAAGAATGCAGAATTATCAAGATTGAAACAAAGAACAATATCGAATGAGATGTAACTTATAGAAGAAAAGTTCAACAATTAAAAATACTAAAGCATCAGGGTTCCATCCGCATACAAATATGCAATTTCACTATTTCGATTCCTTTTTATAACTCAACTGAGTTACCAACAAGAAGTAATCTCAACCGGAAAATATAGCAATTAAGTTTTCCTCATATAAAACTTCTTGCAAAGTGATTTTCATTGTAGATATTCAAAACAAAACGCCCATTCAATTTCTTATAAAAATAATCCCAAATATAATTTGTACCTACGGCAACAAAATATTAAGAAATTACTCCGTCGAAATCATACCAATCTACTAATTCAATTCACTAAAAGCATGAATGTGAAACAAAACTATAGGAAAAACATGATTAAACTTATGAATCATAACCAACATTCATCAATCTGAAAATAGAATAAATAAGAAATTCCGTTGAAAATCCATAATGTAAAATTGACATTGAAACTCTGAAATAGAATCGAAATAATAAAAATACATAATCGTAATATAGGTTTCCCCCCTAGAAAAAGAAAAGTCTAAAATTATGAAAGAGCCGCCCCCTTTTGAAAACAATCAAATGGAGATTATATAAGTTGCTGCCACAACCAACCTCCCTTCATATTCTTCTTGAATAATGGTCATTCATCAACCCATTATTAATATGTTAATGCCAATCCCCATAACCCTCTGAATAATGGTCATTGATAAGCCTTAATGCCATATTGAAATGGTAATGGCTGGCCGTTTCTTTTTATTCTTCTTTGCCTTCTCCTTTCTTCATTTCTTTTCGGTAACCAACATAGAGTTAATCACCAATTTATTGTCTTGTGCCTCACCCTTTAATTGCCTTGCAACATTCTCATCGTCTTGCACATGAACATTAATATAACATCAGTAAAAAATTAAAACAAATTAGATATAAAACCTATTTGATCAATTATAGATGATAAAGCACAAATTTGATAAATTACTAGAGAAAAACATGTAACGGGTATAATCAAAGCGCATTAGACATGTACTTTTGAGCAATTATCAATAGTTTAATACGATAGCAGAAATGCAAATTTGTCCTGCTTTAGTTTATGTCTATTATGTCGCTTTTGGAATTAACAATTACCATGCATCCAATTTTAGGGCTTTATATTTACATGTATGGAGTCGGGTTTTTTGATACAGAATGTAAGTGACCCCATTTCACGTACTCTAAAAGTATATAAGCTTGGTAATGATTTTGAAGGGCATGTCTGATGCTTTCTCAAACATGAATAGCCTGTGGGGTTTAAGATTGATATCAATTCCAAATTGTGGAATTGATATCAACGGCAGATTGTAAAACTGATATCAAAGCCAATAGTAAGTGTTTGGGGGCTTCTTGGTATGATAGTTATGTCTGTTCTGTGTTTGTTTTCTTTCCGTCTGTTCTTAGAGCGTACTCCTTATCCTTTGATATGTAATTTGTGTTAGCTTAAATGAAAGGTTTGTCTCTTCTAAAAAATGATGAATCCAACATGTTACTCATCAATATCTTTTAGAGCCCACGGTGTGTTCGAAGTTAGAACTAAGTAGGTTTGTTGCACAAGATATTCTAAAGAGCCAGAATTCTATTATTATTTTTTTTTTGTGGGGGGGGGGGGTAGAAGCAAAATATACGTGATGAATTTGGATTTTGCAGTCTCTAAATGAGGAGAGGCTTCACGCCTCTTCCTCTGGTATTGTGGGATTTTAATTTTTTGGTCATTTGCTTTGCCTTCCATGTAGTTTATAGTGTGATGTGCAGCATTGGTGTAGGCTCCAATGATATCGGAAGCTTTAGGATTGAGCAACCCCTAAATTGATTGGTAAATCTAGTATTGGATGTAGTACATATTTGTATAATATTTTGATAGAAAATGTGTTTTATTCTCTCTGTATTTGGTTCGCAAAGGGAGGGCAACATTTTCGGGCTTTGGATAGTAAAGACTAAAGATGGTTTTACTTTGATAATTAGTTTAATTAGCATGTGGTTTTGGTGGGGTTTGGTACGTATGATGGAACTAAAGCGTGTGACAGAAGAATCACAGTTGGTATAATAGTTGACAGTGGATCATTGCACGATAGACATCTTGCTGGATGTGTTGTGCTTTTACCAACCCTAATAAAATTATATTTGAATCATGCTGTCTGATAACTCTGTTTTTCTTTTTTAATGTTTGTGGTTTTTATTCTTTGTCATTGAATTGGTGTAGCTTTGCTAGGATCTTTGTTCACGCAGTTTGTGATTAGTGCTAATGGAATTTGATTAATCGCTTGACCCTTGCTTTCAGAAGGACTGTTAGAAGTTTTGTGTCAATTTGGTTGTGATGGTAAGATTACTTCATGTAACATTGTGTTGTGGCGTGTGAGTGCCGAATTTTTTTCTTAATTTAATTTCGGAAAGAAATGCGTTTAACGGTAGTCCTATTGTTGTACTTTTATGTGCAAACGGAAGCAAATTATAACAAAGTACCAATATCAACGTCGTAGGTGAAAGCTAAAACAAACAATCTCAAGCTAACACAAGAGATTCACGTGGTTCGGCGTAAAACCTACGTCCACGAGCGAAGCACGGTAAAGAATTTCACTAAACAAACGGAGATTACAAAAGTTTTTAAACTCTCACAACCCAAATCTCACAAATTACAAACTCTAAACCAAACGAGTAGAGAACCCAAACAAACGGAGAAGATTCTCCCAAATTGCTTTCTAACTCATAAACTCACAAATTGTCTCTCACCAAATTACCACACGAATGAGCCACATGAAATACTCAAACCCTAAGGTTCTATTTATAGTGCATAGGACTTAGGTTACAATAGGAATCCTAATAGGAAGTAAATCCAAATCCTAATCAAATAGGTAATTAACATAATCTCTCCACCAAGGAAACCAATTAAGAAGTCAAAAGCCAAACCCAAACAGGACACCAAAACCAAATAGGTAACAAGGACCTAATTTTTTGTATCATCCTAATTTTGAGCTGGAAAACCCAACAATCTCCATCTCGGCGAGAAATTAGCAAACTTCCATATCAAATACAAACTTCAAATTTGGGATACCAAAATACAAATGCAAACGTGCACCAAATTATTTCAAAACTGATACCAAAATACTTGTTTTATTCATTTGATTACGCTTGAAACAACTAGTTCCTGCAGCAACGCGTGGGGGTATATTTTAGTTTGGAAACTATACTTGTTTTACGGCGAGAGGTTATACATTTTTAAAAAGGTTTTACAAAACTTTATTTTCAGATCCATTCATTATTGTTTTTCGCCCCTCCAAGTTTTAGTGGCCGAGCTCGTGTTGATGAGGATTTCTGGCAAAGTTGATTTAGGAGACTACATCTGATGGTATAATTCTCATTCTAATTCTACTATACTTTACTTATACTCTGACTTCATGTGTGTAATGGGTTCAATCCTGCTCATATGCGCACTTTTGCATTTAGTCACTTTTAGGTTTAAACTTATTTACTTTTTTTTTTTTCCACACAACTATACTTTATGGTTTCGTCACTTTTCTGGTGTCGACCAACACAGCTCGATTCAGAATCCAAGTGGATGTTCCAGGTCAGGATGTGTCAACCGCAATATCTTATTTTCCCACCCACTATTTCATAAAAAAATGTTACTGTCATATTTATCTTTTTAAAAGAAGAATTTTGAACCCCTATTTAATTAATTAATTACTAATGGTGAGTGGGGTGTGATATCTACGGTTGAGATAGGCTAAGAAAGATTTGGGCCACAATCAACAGAAAGGTTGGAGGAAGGAATGCGTGTGCTAGACGAAGGCAAGAAATAGTGAGATCTGCAGCTTTGACAGAAAAAAGGGAGAAGAATAATGGTTTGGGATTCAAGGTCTCTGCGGAGTATCGATAAGTGTGAGTCAAGAGGGGTAACGGTAAGGAATATTGGACCATATATATGGTATATGGTGAAAATAGAAGGTGGAGATTTGGAAAGAGATCAAGGCGGCAAATTTGGGGTTAGTAGGAAGAGATATTATGAAAGGGATCCCATGATTTAAGGACATGCGTGGTTTGAAGTAGATGATGAATTTCCAAGTCTTGCATTTTCTTTCATATTTCTGTTTTTATTTATTTATTTATTATTTAAATATATATTAGATTTTTTAAGAACAAAATATATTAGGGTTTTTTTTCGGAATAATAGTGGATGAGAAAATGACATTTTACTTTTTTAACTTTAATGGTGGGTGAGATTATCATGTGGATGGAAAAATAGGACATTGAAGTAGGTCTAGTAGCACTCATGGTCTAAAATATCCATAATATCCCGATATTTCCATCGAAATTTCCGTGTTTTTGGACTACCGATATTTCCGATATCATCGATATTTTAGACCTTGCAAAGTCACTTATGTATCTTACCATGCAATGTATAAAGTGTAAAATATTGTACTAATTCATTATATATAAATGATTATGGTGTGTTTAAACTTCTTTCATTAATTACTACATATTTTCTACACTCACAATGTTTGCCAGCT